ATGAATTCCTTGGGAGCAGGGACTGTCTGACTTCTCTATTTGTATCCCCAGAGCTTAGCACAGTGTTCTGTACATCATAAGTGCTTAACAAATGCTTCATTCATTCATTCATTTATAAATTTCTAGTCTCTTAGGTTTATAGTGGTGGCATCATTCTTAACTCTACACTCTCCCCACATACCAAATCTTGTGCAAAATCTTGCTGACCTTTTTTCTCTACTTATACAGCCATCATTTAGTTTAATCTATCATCCCCTGAACAGCCCCCTGATTGTTCTCCCTGCCTGGAGTCTCTTCACAGATCCATCTATCCTTCACACAGCTGCCAAAATATTTCTCCTCAAGAAAAGATCTGACCATGTCACTCTCCAATTCAACCTACTCCAAGCACTTCCTGGTTTCTCTAGGATCAAACATACACCTCTCTGTTTAGCTTGTAAAGTCCCAAAAAACCTGGCCCTGACCTAGCTTTCCAGGATTGCTGTCCATTATTTCCTCTCCTTGCATCCTGTGATGCAGCCAGTTTGTCCTCTCCACTCTTCACATGCAACCCTACATCATCCCTCATCTCTGTGCCTTTGTATTGGCAGTCCCCCATGCCTGGAATATCCATCAGTTCATAAACCCATTGTGAACAGGGATTGCTTTATTCTTTGTGTTGTTATTACTAAAACCCAACACAGTGCCTGGCACATAGTAGAAGTTCTTTGTAAATAGTAGGCTCCTTAAAGTGTTGGAAAAAATGAATGTATCCAATTTTCCCTTTTATTTGGGATGCCTAAGATGTTTTTCTGGTGTGAATGACACAAGTCTTTGTAGATACTTATCTGATCCTACTACATTTTATTCATTGCTTTACTTCATTTCTAATTTTCATTCCATAACTACAAAGTTTTTAATTGTTCCTGAAACAGTCTCATTCCCCACTAATCCATGCACAGGCTTATTCTATAGTACTTTAAAGACCTCAAGGTCAATTCCTTGAAAAACAACCAGGAAAATAAACTGTTAAAAAATGTTATATTTATTCCTCAAACATTTTTTCATCTTGCTTTATAGCCACTAGTAAATACTAGGAGTTTACAAACAGAAATATAGCTTAGTAGCTAAACAAATACATACATACACACACACACACACACATACACATATGTATTTTTAATCTTTATGCTTAACTAGAGATACCTGGGCAGTACTGTTTACAAACTACTGGAATTTAAAAAAAAACACCAGTTCTAAATCAAAAAGAGAACTATTCCAGTGACTCACTACATTTTAATGTTGCCTGATTTTTAGGTTTCCTGTGTGAATTAGCTAAGAGATATTGCAATGTAAAGAATACTGACTAAAACCTTTTCTATTTCCTGCTTCATTTCCTTTTAAAGAAAAATATTAGTTTTTATATTACTCAGACATTCTATAAATAAAGAAAACTAGGGAACTGGAATCTTCTTGTAACTAAACATGACCTTCTAGAGCTATATTTGCCAGAACAATGTATGACTAGTAAAAAAAGCACTTTCTTGGCTACGTAATGCCTAACATCCAGATAAAAAAGGAAAAATGGGTAAAATTTGGTAGAATATTCTGGTTTTAAAAACCTCATTCAAATGGTGTTTTTTATTTTTAAAAAATCCTTTTTTTTAATAAATAACTTTTTTTTCTCCTTTTTACCTTGTGCTGTATAGATCTGGCCCAAGTGTCTTTGGAAGTCAAGTCACAGCAGCATGCTGACAATCATGGCACTAGTGCCATGGGAACTAGAAGGAGGATGGAGAATGTTCTCCAGTTTGATTGACTTCTAAGAAAATTTCAAAAGCATAATAGAAGAAAGAACTAAAAGCATCAAGCAGACAGGTCCCAAAGCATTTAGGAGAATGCTATCATGAAAACAGCAAGGTGATCATCTTTCTCTTATAAATATGGAAAACATGATGCTTACGCACTACTGAGAGTAAAGCTAGGAACACACAACTGTGCTCCCTTTCTGCACTCCTCAGTGACCTGAAGGCTTTCTAACCTTGATTACAAAGATTTTAAGTACAATTATTTGGGATTATCAGTCATTTTAAAGATGTTCTCTTTCTCTCTTTGACTCTATTTGACAACACATATCAGAATTTAGGCCTCATTTTTTTTTAGAACAAAGGCTGACGAGGCATTTTATTTTCCACCTAACAGTAATTTTAAAACCACATCAATTATTTTTTTCACATGCAGCTGTTTCTGATCCACACACTATTGCTGTAGGCATTTTTTCTTTTTATCATACATTTCAGAGGAAAAGGAATGAGGGGGAACCAGCTAATATACAAATGTTTAATATACCATAGATTAGACAAAAAATGAGATGGGGGCTTCTTAGAAATAGAAATTGCTTATTGATAGTGTAATAATTGTGTAGCTAATTCATTTCTGCATGCTCTATCCAGTTAACAAAATATAGTGATTCCCACTTGGTCTTTTTCTGCTATTCATTTATTCAACAAATATACATAGAGTACCAATTATCACAGCTCTTATGGCACACAGCACTAGGCTTGACTCTGTGTGAGTTATTTCTTCAGCATATCAATGGGCCAAAAAGCGTGTCAGCATAGCTAGGTATATTCTTCCCTGGGGCACATCACAGCCTGCTCGCGCCTTCTCATTTTCCATGATTGTTGTCTATGTCTTTCCATAAATCCTCCAAAGAAGATCTATTCAATGTGTTTGAGGTCTTTTACTTCTTTTAATATTCCAAGACTATCAGTGCAGGACTTGAGCTTTCTATCAGGCCCTGTCCATTTTCTTTTATGGTCATGCATGTTCTTGAGTATGTCTGCTATACCATTTCCCATATAAAAATCCTTATTGGTAATGTACTCCTTATTCATATTTCATTCACCCTCGGGATCACCTACAATTTTAATTCTTCTGAAATCATGTGTTTTTCAATTCATAGCTACATATCACAATGGAATAAAACTGAAATTAAATACATGGACTATTAAGGCAGAGAGTAGCCAGTGACGCTATTGTTTTCCAAATGCGATGCAGAGTGATAGGAAAGAAGGGCTTACTATGTGATAGACACTATGCTTCTTTCTATTATATTCGGTGCCCAGATCATATACAAAGAAGGACTGTCCAATTGCATCATGATCTAGACAATGCACATTTCTCATCCATTTTATTTTTCTGGTGTGGAAGACTAGGTTGCTCTCTTTTGAGTCATTAAGACTCACTGAGGAGATCCCATGCCATTCCAGAGCTTGATGTAATTATCACGATGTCACCCAGGAATAGGAAGAGCTAGAAAACCCTTATTACTAAGGGGTCTGCACTCAAAGAGCTTGAAATTCAATGCAATTCACCAAAAATGTATTAAATACTTGCTATGACAAAAATGAAAATCCCTGTATCTTTCAACATGTATACAGAGAAGTACATATAAGACAATTTGAAGAGAAAGAATGCAAGAGGGGATCAAGGGTTGTGAAAGAGGTAGCACCAAAGCTGAGCCTTAAAGAAAGGATTCAGGAAGGAAGAGATGAGGACATCATGCATTCCAGGATGGCTTGTCCAAATGCAAGAAGGTGAGAGATGGAATGCTGTGTGTCCCACAGTACATAAGTTGGGCTGCAAAGGATGGGCAGGACATCAACATAAGGATATGGGCAGGGAATCTGTTTCAGGCAGGGGAGATGTATCTGCAAAGGCCTGGAGCCAGGAGAATGTAGAACAAGAGTGGGCGATGGAGAGCATTTGTACAGTTTGGCACCATTGTACTTACTTTCTTATCACTTCCGTGCATATACTGTATGTGTACTAAGCTAAGGAACATAGTATCTGTAAAGGAAAGTAATGTGAAATAGGGTCAGAGAGAAAACCAGGCTAAACAGCGGGCTGAAAAGTTTGTATTTTATATCAGAAGTAATAGCAAGCTAACTACAGTCTAGTTGGAGAATCTGAACTAGTGTATGGAAAATAATTTAAAAAAATTAGGCAATGGGTGATGAGATGTCAAATGAGAGACACTAAGCAACACAGGAATGCAAATGACAGAGAAATAACTGTTAACTGCAGCAATCTGTAAAGACTTCATGGAACTTAAATTTGGCTTTAAAGGATTAGCAAGATTTACATAGGCAGGAGGGCATGCCATTCTTCTGTTCACCAAATATTTCTTAAGAGTAAGGCACTATATAAAGGGGCCAGGAGAGATATAAATAGAAACAAAGCACAGTCCCTGATTTTATAAATCTTATAATCTTGATATAGAGCAAGAAAAGATATACACAAATACGATATAAATTATATTTGCTAAGGACTTAAACATGATATAAAGAAAATGCTCTGAGATTTCCTAAGAGGGACAGTTGTCTTCTGCCTTTGGAGAGAGTAAAGATTCCATGTTGGAGTTAATGTTTATTTCAACAAAAGATGGGTGACAGGGTACTATTCAGGGATAGGGAAGGGTGTCAAAAACCCCAGAAAATTGCTGATACTTAAATGGATACATGTAGGGGGACTGCAGTGCCAGATTATAGGACTCAGACTTCAGCGAAGAGGTATTCATGGTTTACTGAGAAGAACATTAGACTTGGCATCAGAAGACCTGGGTTCAAGTCCCAACTCTAACACTAACTGTGGGATTAGAAAGTCACTTAACTCTTCCAAACCTCAAATCTAACTGCTATAAAAATGGGCACTATAATACTTGCACCACCAATTTTATAGGGTTGTTGTGACAAAAGTGTTTTGTAAGCTTTAAAGCTTTTGTGAGAAATTAAATGATTTAGGGTCATAGAGTTTGTGCTAGAAGGGACTTTAGAGGCCATGTAGTCCAACCCCCTCATTTCACAGATGAGGAAACTGAGGCCCAGGGAAGGGGAGAGACCTGTACAACGTCAAAAGGATATTAAGTATCAGGGGAAGGAAAGAAAGCAACGAACACTTAGTAAGTGCTTACCAACAGGCCTCAAACCCATCAGTGAGTTAGGGGGAAGTCCATCCCAAGTCTGTGAGTGGATGAGAACAGTTTGTTCCAATAGCCATGAAGGCAGCTGAGGCAGGTGCTGGAGAGTGCTTAGAGCTCGGTCAGATATTGAAGACACCAAGGCCACCCACTGCATCCTGGGTCATTGCCAGTCATTCTGATTTTTTATCTTGCCACAGGACTTCTATGACTCTGGAAGAGAGAATGAGGCTGATGACTTTGTGCAGCTCTGCCTCACTCAAATCCAACGTCATTGGTCTTCTTTGAAAATGAAGGATGAACAACAAACAACTATGTGATATCACTAGGTTAAGTGCTGGGGATAGAAACACAAGCAAAAGAAAGACAGTCTCTGCCTTGGAAGAACTTACATTCTAATAGGGAAGACCATCCCCCAAAAGGAGCTTCACAGAAAGAAGGAAGGCCTGCCCGAGGCCCGCCACAAAATCAGGGCTCCAAGAGAAACTCCCCAAAGGGAGAAGGGAGGGAAGACATTGTGGAGGAATATACTAAGGGGGGTAGGTCTCAGGGTAGTGGGCCTGGTGTGAACAGGCCCTAAGCACTGAAGGAAGTTCCAGGAGGGGCCAGCAGGATGAGTGTGTATGGTTTTGAGGTCTCGACAAAGTCAGGAATAGGCCATGGAGATGAAAGAAGGCAGAATATGTCCATGGTCACATAGCTAGTAACTACAACTTGAACCCAGGTTTTTTGACTCTAAATCCAAAAGATTAACCTTGGTAAATTAATTTTGTTCTTTATCAATGATAATGAGCCACGGAAGTGATATAATACTGAGGTCTGATTGCTATTTCTAAATATTAGATATGTTCTACATCTAATTGGGAGGAAAGTGGAAAACATTTTCTGCATTGTTACTTTTGTGCCATAGCCATATCTTGTCGGACTAAAAATTTCAAGATGCCTGCTATCCAAGAAGAGATTTCAAAAACCTTGAAATATGCTTATAGCTGTCAAAGAAAACTTGGCTCAACAAGAAAGCTATACCTACTTTCCCAAAGAACAGCTTAGAAGTAAAATCAGCTTTCAGTAATACCCATGCCTAATGTTATCCACCAGGCAGTAATTTACTGAACCTTTCCTCAAGCTAAGAAATTCTTAATCTAAAAAAATGTGAGTAATATAAAAAAGGCTAACTAACTTGGAACAAAACTAGAATGGCAAGAATGACTGTGTGAACCCTCTTTAATTTGACATATAGCATTAATATGACATAATACATTAACATAGCAACACAAATTGCCAAAACTACCAAATGTTATTAAAATATTTTGACTAGAGTATTACAAATATAAATCTGATTATACCATGTAAGTAATAATAGTAATAGTAACAATGATGAGGATGAGGATGGTAATGTTTAGACACTGTACTAAGCACTACAATTATTATCTCATCTGATTTTATCCTCACAACAACTCTGGGAAGTAGGTGCTATTATTATCCTCCCTTTACAGATTAGGAAACTGAGGTAGACAGAGGTTAAGTGACTAGCCCAGGGTCACAAGCTAGTAAGTACCTTAGGCCACATTTGAACTCTTCTCCCAGATTTCAGGCCTGGCATTCTATCTACTGCACCACCTACTGGTCTCTAAGAATAAAACTAATTATGCCATAAATTATTTTGGATGATTTCTACTGAGTAAAATATTTTTCTCTTTAGCTTCTGGTTTTCAACAAAAAGTTGAGTGTTTTCAGAGGGGTCAAACACACGGCCCACCGGCTGCACGTGGCCTACAACACTGCCTAGTGAATCTCTAACCAGACGGTGACATAATTGAAAAATATTTCATTTTTATTGTATTTTGTTGTATTTATTGTGTTGTATTATAATAAATTAAACATTAAAATACAATCAAACATAGATAACATTACTTTTAAAAACTAAGATAATATGTGCCCTGTAGGGATCCTCCGGTACAGATTAGTGGCTCCCATTTCTATCTGAGTTGGTCTAGATGACTAAGCACATGGAATAAGGAAATCTTACAGCATATGTGGCATTTGTATGTTTGAGGGGGGATAGTTTAAACTATTTTGAAAATTCTTATATTTCTTTATAGAGTTAAATCCTTCTATAGGAAAAAAGAGAAACTATGAGTTAGGTTACATGTTTTAAGGAACAGTAACATGAATTTCCCTTGCTACTTAGCCCAGCTTACCAGAGGGACAGACTAGTTTACTTTTATCAAGTTCCTGAGGTTAAACTTTATCGTACCATTTTGTTTACCCCTTTCTCTGTGCTCCATGCTCCCTGCCTCCCCCTTATTACCTTGAGATACTAACATGCTCCAAAGACATAATGGAAGACAGGGGTATGCGATTATTTACTCGACAGAAAAGAAGTACATTGGATAGTCATTTTTTAAAAGAGAAGAATACAAGGGGTTGCTGAGCCTAAACAGGCTCCTAATAAGCACTTACTAAATGCTTCTTGTTGAATTAATGGCTATCCTATATTATATCAAATTAAACAACATATGTAAAATGCTTTCTAAAACCTAGCTATTATCTCATATTGAGGGTAATCTAGAACCCTTTATTAACACATCACTAATGACAACCTTATTAACATACCCATAGGCCTTTTTCAGGCCTCCTCCTCCTTGAACTGTGTACCACAAGGGTTTGTTTGCCAGTCCTTCCTTCTTGATAATCTCTCCTCTATTGGCCTCCACCCATGGTACCAAATTCTCATGACTCTATTCCTACCTCTCTGAATGTCCCTTCTCTGTCTCCTCTAGTGGCTTCTCATCCTCTTAAATATGAGTGTCCCCTGAGGTTCTGCACTAGACCTTCTCTCCCTTGATGGTCTCATCCATTCCCATGGTTTGCATTCTCCCCTCAGGCAGATGACTTCCCAACCTTTCTCTTCCCACAGTACCAGCTGTGTGTGTCCAACTTCCCACTCATTATCTCAACGTGCATGTTCTTAATTCATTCACACTCCTTCATTCAATGAGCATTTATTAAGGATGGACTATATGTCAGTTAAAGTATCAAGCGCCTGGAATACTAAGGCAGAAATGAAATAGTCCTGCTTTCAAGGGACTTATATTTTATTGGAGATAGGCGAGAGCGGAAGGGCAGCTAGGTATGTAGTGGATAGAGTGCTGGGCTTGGAACAAGAAGATTCATCATCTTTATAAGTTCAAATCTGGTCTCAGACACTTACTAACTGTGTGACCCTGGGCAAGTGACTTAACCCTGTTTGGCTCAGTTTCCTCATCTGTAAAATGAGCTGGAGAAGGAAATGGCAAACCACTCTGGTATTTTTGCCATGAAAATCCCAAATGGGGTCACAAAGAGTTGGCTACAACTGAAAAGACTGAACAACAAAAAGAGGGTGGAAGCAACACCTACACAGATAAGTAACTATAAAATATATGTAAAGTAAATACAAAGTAATTTCTGAGAGGGCAGTGAAGAGCAGCTGAGCAGATCAGCAAAGACCTTTTACTGGTGGTGGCACTTGAACCGAGCTCTGAAGGAAGCCAGGGATCCTCAAAGCAGTAGGAGAGGAGGAGGGAGGATATGCAATCATGGCACAGGGGCAGTGGTAGCGGGGTGGCGGGTAAAGGCAAAGTGCTAGGAGAGGTGAGCTGGATTGGAACACATAGTGCATGAAGGAAGAAATATGCAAAAAGCCTGAAAAAAAAAACCAAACAGGCTGAAACCACTTCACCAGGAGCTTTAAATGCCAAACAAGAGACTGTATTTTATCCTACAGGTAAGGTGGAAGCACTGGCGGTGGCACCTTCCTTTCCCTCTGCATGTTCAGAGTGATCTCATGAGCATCTTCCCCAAAACCTGCCCTTACAAACTCCTCTGCTTCTACTGATTATCAGGTTAGTTAACCAGGCTTGACACCTTGGAAGCATCTTAAACTCTTTCTCTCCCTTAGTTAAGTTTCGCCTATTCTGTGTTATCTGTTGCCTTATCCTCTCCTTTCTAATTCTATTGTATTAGCCTCCTTCAGACTCTTTCTTCTGGTCTGGACTATATTAGACTACACTCCTAACAAGTTTTTCTTTCTTCAGGATATATAGATATAGATATAGATATATCCCCTCTATCTCCTTAAAAACTTAAAAACCTGCAGGAGGCCCCACTGCCTATAAAATAAATAATTAATTTGCCTTTCAGGCATTCAAGGCCCTCCCCAGTTTAGCTCCAACTGGCCTCTCCAGTCATATCTCCAGTCATTCATCTTCACATTTGATATATTCCAGGCCTCAGATGGACATTCCTCATCTTTATCTGGTGAAGTACTCCCTTCTTCTAAGGCCCAACTTAGGTTCTACTGCCTCTAGGAAGCATTTCTTGACCCCTGCAGCTCAAAGTGATATTCCCTTCTCAGATTCCTCTTAGCACTGTTATCTGGGTATTTCATCTGCACTTATCATAGGCTCCCATGTATCGCAGTTATTTCTGTGAAAATTTCTACTCTCTACATCCATAAATTTTTAAGCTTTTTGAAAGTAATATGTTGAATCACTTTTTTATCCAGAGAACTTAGTACAGAGACTTGAATATAATAGGTACTCAATAAATGTTTGTGTAATTAAATCGAACCTTTATCTAAAGTATGAAGATGGAGAATTATAAAGCTTATTATATAGGAAGAATTCTAATTCCCTTCTTCACAATACCATAGGGACATCCTCCTATATACAAATGACCTTAAAGGGCATTAATGAGTTAAACTTTATTAAGACCCTGTCACTTTTATATCCTAGGGAAATGGCTCTAGCGCAGAGGTTCTGAATCTTTTGGGTGTCACAGATCACTTTAGCCGTTAGTCTGATGAAGCCTTTGGAACCCTTCTCAGAAGAATATTTTTAAATATATAAAACAAAATGCAAAGGATTACATGGGAAACCAAGTAGATGTAACTTTTTTTTTTCTCATCCAAGTTCATGGATTCCCTGAAGTTAGTCCATGGAGCCCAGGTGAAGAACCTCTAATCTAAAGATTAGAGATTAATTTGCTGGGTGGGAAATTTAGAATGATATATAATATTCCTCCTAAATCTTAAATTTTTATGATTAATTTCCATAGTGGGCATTAATCTACAACTTGAAGGAAATAAGTACTGCTGATTAACATAAACACACAAGAGAAACATTGGGCCTAGAGTCTGGGAGTGGATTGAACTGAGGCATCACTAGGAG